GACTTGGGTGTGGAAGAATAACTGGACACGAGCCAGCAATGCGCATTAGCAGCCCAGAAAGCCAGCTGCATCCTGGGCTGCGTCAAAAGAAGCGTGGCCAGCAGGTGGAGGGAGGTGATTCTGCCCCTCTGCTCTACTCTGGTGAGAGCCCACCTGGAGTACTGCGTCCAGCTCTGGAGCCCCCAATGTAAGAAGGACATGGACCTGTTGGAGTGGGTCAAGAGGGGCCCACAAAGATGACCAGGGGGCTGGAGCACCTCTCCTATGAAGACAGGCTGAGAGACTTGGGGGTGTTCAGCCTGGAGAAGGGAAGGCTTCAGGAAGACATTATAGTGGCATTCCAGTATCTGAAGGGGGCCTACAGGAAAGACAGGGACAGACATTTTAGCAGGGCCTGTTGCAATAGGACAAGGTGTAATGGTTTTAAACTAAAAGAGGGTAGATTCAGACTAGATAGAAGGAAAAAAAATTTTATGATGAGGATGGTTAAGCACTGGTGCGGGTTGTCCAGAGAGGTGGTAGATGCCCCATCCCTGGGAACATTCAATATCAGGTTGGACAGGGCTCTGAGCAACCTGATCTGGTTGAAGATGTCCCTGCTCATTGCAGGGGGGTTGGACTAGATGATCTTTAAAGTTCTTTTCCAACCCAAACCATTTTTTTTTTAAAAAAAAAAAGGTCCTCCAGCAGTCCGTGGAGGAGAGCACTAGGTGGCCTGTGTGTACAGTCACTGCCAGCTCCATCAGAAAATCAACACGTTGCATTTTGCCTAAAAGTAACATCTTTGTGGGTAGTATCTGTCCTTTGGCAAATGCAGAGCAGGTCTGTCATCGGGACAGTTGTCATCCTCCTCTCGCAGGGACAACAGGGTTGCAGGCACTTTTGTGGCAGGACTAAAGTGGCAGGTGAGCCCCTTGTCACCTGGAGCGTCCCACTACAGATACTGCATCCGTAACATTGAACAGACTCCTTCTCCCCTCCCTCACCACAGGTCCTACAATCCAGGGAGGTTAGTGAGCCGGGCTCTGTGTGGTGGCTCGTTCATTTGGCTGTCATTAGCCTTCCAGGAACAGAGGAATGTTCTTATCAAAAAGCACATGAGCTCGTTAAATGTCAGTGCTGCCCTCCGCATTGGTCTCCTTTGATCAGAAAAGTAAAGTTATGCTTGTGAGAGAAATGAGACTCGGCAGGCTGCCCCCAGTCCACCTCTCTGCCTTTAAAAGGCTGTTGAAAATATTCTCATCTAAGGTGTTTCCGACTTTTGGGGCATAATTATGAGTTGTGTTCCTATACGACCAAAATCTTTGATCCTGACAGAATTCAGTCTTTAGTTTAACACAGTTTTAGTTGTTTGGCTCATTTTTCTCTCTGCAGTCCTTTGAGTCCTACCTCCACTGGGACGTAATGTGCTGAATAAAGACATTTAGTATCATCTTACAGGTTCCCTTAAGGCTGGAAATCCTTGCAGTTGGGCTTGGGTCTCAGATGAACTCTCTGCAGGGTGAGATTTAATGTGGCCTCAGGGGTTGTCCCTGCATCAGGGCCTTGGCAGCGCCGTGGGGGTGCCCTGCCTGACGTGGTCTGCAGCAAAGCATGGTTGTTTATTAGGATAGTTGTAGCGTGCTGGGACATTGCCAGAGCTGCTGATAAAAGCCTGGACCATAATTTTTTTTCCTGTTACAAATGGGTTTTGCTGGCAACGTGTTACGTCCTCCAAGCCCCGATGACTTGCTTTGGTGGCTTTGTTCCGTCTTAGTATTTATTAACAAGAAAAGAAGGTTCTAACAGATAGCTGTATGCCTAACAGAGAGGGCAAGTTACCTTCTGTGTATGTGCAGCTCCTTGAAGGTGGGGGTCTTATAATTAGAAATTCTGGTATTGTGCAGTGCTCCTGGGGCTGTGCGGGTTTCTGTTTATTCAAACAGGCTTCTGCGCAGTGATAGCAATTTGGCAAAACAACAGAGGATCCTCCTCCTAGGATCATCTTGTAAGGGAATGTTTACAAGCCCTCAAAGGAATAATACTGATTTGAGGTAAATGCTTGTCCGTGGTAATAAATAGCCATGTAATGGTCACATAGATGGCTTTCAATGTTATTTTAAGTTAATGCGAACACAGGTTTCAGCTGTTACGGCTGCACTCTGAAAGAATAGACCTTGATCCAATAGTGAGGTGTGCGCAGCAGTCTGCTTGATTATGCGTCTTTGCTACCTGCAGTGATGGTCACTGCCAGCAAGTTTTTCTTGCATGTAAGGGGGTGGAAATGGTAGCAAATCCATGGCTGTTAAGTGAACAGTGTTTTCATATTGCAGTTAAAATATTTGTAAGGGAAGGTATTTGGACTCAAAAAAGTGAAGTCTGAAACTTAGAGCATTTAAAAGATGGCAGCTAAAGCCAAACACATAGAAAATAAAAATCCCAAATGCTTGGGATGTCTGGAAATTCCTCACTTACAGCTCTTGAACTAGGCAAGGTCTCTTCAGATCTTCAGGATATTCTATTTGGGACTTTTGTGAGCCTGGGCGCTTCCAACTACCTGCTTTGCAGATCTTTCAGGAGCATCAGTAATGTTGAAAACTTACTTCAAAAGGCAAAAGTCTTAACGTTTTTTTTTATGTGGCACTTGGTTTCATTTTTTCCCCATAGCTGCTAATTTTTCCTAGGCCATAGCTGAGCCATACCCCCTTCTTTTAGTGTTGTTACTACAGTCCAGCTTGGAGTCTTCAATTTGCTTTTGAAACGTTAAGCTGGGAGGAAACCCTTCTAAAGCAAGGTTTGGCAGATGTACAGATGAGCCAAAAAGCATCAGCTTTTTTCCAGGAGCAAGATGCCAGCTGGAATTCAGCATCTCCGTGAACTTGCAGTGTAGCAAAAGGGAACAATGTGCCAAAAGGCTCTTGCAGATTGTGGCCGAGGTGCTTGGGCATCAGGCTGGAGCTAGGAAACCTCAGGGCATCTTTTGTAATAGCCAGCACCTTCCTGGATTATTACGTTGTGATTTTTCCTGCAAGTCATGAGCAATTGGGTGAAACGCTGTCCCTCCCCAGGGTGCCTGTGTCACACATGCTGGCAGGGTGACAGGCGATGCAGCCCGTGGGCTGTGTTCCCTGTGCAGGAAGGGTTCAGGGGGCAACATGCTCCAGTGCTGCCTCCTGTCTCTGCTGTGCCCTGATGCATGCCATTGCGCGTTGGGATGCAGTGAGATGGAGGGGTCCCTCCAGCTTCACTGTGTTTCTGTGTGGAATTGTTTCTGAATATCAGCTTCCAATAGTTTGGTTTTGGTTTTGTGGGGTTTTTCGGGGTTTTTTTTTAAGTATTACTCCTCAGGGTTCAGGTTGCAAAGCAGTTAAATGGATGAACAACCTGTGCCTGTCACTGAGCATCCCAGGCTGTGGGCAACTGCCTCTTTCGTTGCAAGGGTCATTAATGACAAAATCTAGTGCTGCCAAATTAAGTACAGATAAGGTACTTAACTGCAGGTCAACCTTCGTGTCTCCTTCAGAGCTGAAAGTCCATCTATCCATCTGCCACAGTCTCTGGTTCTCCCTGGATAACTCCAGTACAGAATTCTTCAATTCACTGGGCATCTACAATGAACAAAGAAATTGGCAATCCATGCTACGTTAAACCCTGCTCGGGACATTCACAGACTTCAGTATAAACTGAAGTATCCATGTATGTAAAACCTGTGGTTTAGGAGGAGAGTGACAATATGGGGTTTTGTCCACCTGGAATATCCCTCCTGTCTCTTCATCAGTTGGGGTCTTGCTGGTAATTAGTTACATGTAAAGAGGAAAGGCACTGGAAGGAGACTTCAGGCATAAGAAGCTGTTGCGAGCTCCAGCTTCCCTTGTCTGATCTAATCCCGGTTAGCTACTCAGCATAGCTCTGCTAGGGACGCAAAGTCCCAAAGAAATTGGGAGATAGCAGGAGGGTCTCAAATTAGGACTGAGCTGTGGTTGCTCAGAGGACATGAAGAGGCAGAGGTGCAAGACCAGGGAGTGCAGACTCTGGTGCAGCAAGAAGATAACTGAGCTGGGAAAAAACCTGGCTTTGCCTGGCTGCTATCCTTACACACCTTCCCTGCTGCAGAACCAGCTTCAGGTTCCCACCCGTGAACGGGTTAATGGGTGTCTCTGTCCCAGGAGGGTCATGGAGGCTCTATGGGACCATGGTGATGGGCTCTTGCAGCAAGGGCAGTCCTTAACTTCGTATCCAAAAAATTGGGATGTATCCAAACTCTGATGCTTTCTTTAGACCATGCACCCGCTGTGACTTTTTCAGAAGAGCTCCAAATCTTAAACAGCCCGAGAACAAATAAACGTAATCTTGGCATTTCCATCGTCCGTGGTAAAAAGCTATACTGTGTCGTGGTGACTAGCCACTACGGTGCAAAATTTGCTTTTGTAGGGCAGCTTTATTTAACTTTTGAAAAAATAAGGTCAGAAATTTAGGCCAATTAGTGTGAGCAAAGCTCAGCAGGTTCACATCTCCCTTATGCAACCAGATCTCTAATTACTATCTGCATATTTTAAACACTTTTTACAGTCCTTTGAAATACGTTTTTTCTCTAACTAGAATCTTGTGTGCTGTTTCTCAGATTTTTTTAGCATTTAGAAGCTGCATGTGTTTTCTTTCTTAATCTGTAATTCTCTTCGCACTTCATCTTCAATAAAATATTTGAGTAAATTTTCCCATGTATTTACAATTGCAGTTGGAATTACGGGTTGTAAATTCCCTAAGTTGCCAGGGTTAGGAAACCAGTGAGCTCTTGAATTATACAGATGAAGCACCGAACTTTAGATATGTGTTTCATGAGTATGCAGTTTATCACATTTGTAGATCTCCTTTGTCTAAGGCATGTGTTTCATTCTTTGACAGCCAAGAATTAACAACCTCGTAAATTGAAGTAGGACTTGCTTTTTTGGAGACACTACTGATTCTAATGCCTGAATTTGTTTTGCTTGTTTCTAATGTGTCAGTTCCTTTTGTTTACACAGAGACTTTGCTTATGTGGCAAGAGACAAAGACACAAGAATTCTGAAATGTCATGTGTTTCGATGTGACACACCCGCGAAAGCCATCGCCACCAGTTTACACGAAATCTGCTCAAAGGTAAGTGGATTTAAAGTCAGCTGCGTTTAGAGGTCCCTGAGCCTAACACATACAATCAGTGACCGTATGCAATCTTAGTTTAGTTTATTTAACTGGCAATGCGAAACAGTATAAAGAATTTGGTGAAGGATGCAAATGGATGGGAGTAATGGGAGGGTGAGCATTTTGATTTGAGGAGGAGAAGTGCTTTTGGTTTGACAAGTGTGTTTAGAGACTGAAGGTTTTCTTGAATAATAAAGAAGCTGCGGGTTCCAAATGGAAAAAGAACACACAGCTTCAATTAATAATAAATGGTGATGTTAAACTCCGTAAATAAATCAGACCTTGTTTGAATGGTATTATCCTGCAGGAAAATAGTTGCTAATGTTTCTGCCCGCTTAAAAAAAAATTAAGGAGGAGAGGGGATTTAAGCTACTCTAGTTACAAATACTAAATGATCTTGGTTCCTGCTTGTGGTAGTGTTGTCTGTAATGCTGGAGAGGACTGCTCTTTTCAGTTGTTTTACCTTACAGATTTGCCACCATTCCCTGGTGATTAATTTTGGTTTTCTTGCATGATCAGTTCATGAGTGTCCTCTGTACGGTCATTTCATGCAGCGGTAGCAAGGCAGCACAGCTTTTATGGCAGGCAAATCTGATTGAAACGCTTTATAGAGAGGCACTTAAACCAATCTACTTGAAACTCTCTTTTATTCTTTTCTTGAGCTATGGTGGATTTGAGGCTGCATGCCCCTTTTTAAAAATAGTATGCTGCTCATTTTGGTTTTCCTTAAAACATGTCAGTTTGCACCACAGGAAAAGTGGGCTGTGGGGATGAACAATCTTATCAGTTATCCCTGTGTAACTTGTCCCTCCTTGTGAGTCACAGCTCCTCTAGAAAAGCTAGTTAGGAAACCTTTGGGTTTTAAAATTCCGCTGATTTACTGTATGCCTGTCATTTGCTTTTTACATTTTGTCTTCACGTTAGTGAATGGAATCAGTGATGTCAAATTCCCCTCTGCAGCCAGTTGCATCATCTAAAAATTTTTCATTTTTGCAACACTGCAGATGTGGCTACTGAACTTGTGATGTTTCATGCAAACAACGTGAGCATTTGCACAGTGTGCATTACTCTAACCTCCTGGGCAGCAGAGTTTTGCCCCAGGCAGGGGCAGAAGGTAGCCCGGGAACCGTGCAAAGCCTGGCAGGTCTGTGTGAGGAGACGCGGGAGGGTTGGCCAGGGAGCTGCAGGCTCTGCTGGGTGAAGGTTGACACCGGGGACTGCAGCAGTGACTGGCTGGAGAAGGCGAGACCTGGTATGTCCCTTGGCTTTCTCCTCCAACTCTCAATTCTCACAGATGTTTCCAGCAAGCCTGGCGGGGAAAAGTATGCTACGCAGCCCCTGCTACAGCTGCTTTTATCCAGTCAGGTCAACATGAAGTGAATGGCACAGTGGCTATACACAGGGGTATCAGAAAGGCAGTAGAGCTGTCACACATGGAACTATGACATGAAACTCCTGGCATTAATTTTGGATAAGAGAGCAACTAAGCATTTAAAACCATATCTAATAGTAACACAAGAAAACAGGACAGTGGTGTTAAGTAGAGCATGTTCCTTCATAATTTAATTCAGCAATAGATGTAATCCCGATTCACGGAAGTATTTGGCATGTGCCAACTGACACATGGGACCTCTTTGCTGAGTCAGGGCTTCTCCCTAAGCTAGCGTATATTGGTTTGCATCTGCAGGGAGCAGTATCACCATGTGTCCCCGTAACAGAAAATACTTGAAAAATATAAAGCCTAAAAAAAAAAAATAAAGGGCGTGGGGGGCGCAGAATTTGCTAGAAGCATCTTCAGACCAAGCGTCATCTGCTGGAACGCCAGTTATCTTTATAGCTTAATTACAATTAACAATCATAGCGAAAGAAGCAGATAGCAATGCTTCATATATGAGCTTTGGAAAACCTCTATTAGCTTCCCTGGGTCCCTTCTCAATCATATATTTTTAGGGAATAATCACCCAAAGAGATTATTTGGGGGGAGAGGTGTCCTCCTTTGCTAACATTATACATTTTGGGGGAAGAACAGGTTGTATCTTCCGTGGAATTTTTAATTCCAGAAGAAACATAATAATGGAGGAAAAAATTATACATAGCAGAAGATAGATCAGAGAGGAACATGAATAATGAACACTCTTCTCTGTGTGTTAAATATTTATATTTCTTGCTATATTACTCCTCACTGCAGTTTTGCTGTTGATAAAAATGGCTAGAGGTTTTTTCCTCCTCCACCTATCTTTTATCTAGGCTTGGACAGCACTTAAGTTCTGTATGTAGTTAAGGTATGGTGAATAAACTGGAGGAACATTAAAGTTGTTATTTAAAAAGAATAACCTGTTTAGTCATGTAGCTTCTAACTTATTTCAGATTTCAGAAACTAGGGTTGTAATAGGAGTACATTTATACTTGTGTTTGCTACTGTACTATCTTTAAAAAAAAAAAAAAAAGAAAAAAGCTGTATTATCACTATCTTCTTCAGATTATGGCCGAACGGAAGAATGCTAAAGCTATGGCTTGCAGCTCATTGCAAGAGAGGACAAATGTCACCCTTGATGTTCCTCTGCAAGGTACTGTGTGTTACAGATAGTATCCTTGGGATGGTCTGATTTTATATATGTTTCATTTCTGATGCTGCTTTTGACCAAAATGGAGCGCGTTGGGCGGAGAGGTCAGGAGTATAATCCTGTCTTTTCATTTCTGTATCTGACTGTAGCTTGTTACTGTGTTACTTTAAACATTTTTGTTGGTTGATAGTTGCACAGTTATGCCAAGTTATGCATTTCCTCTTTTATTTTGAAATACAGGTTTTGCAAATGTAGTCTTACTTATTTGTGACTACTTGCACGTATTGTCTTGTTCACATCAAAATACCTCATGACTTAAGACTGCACAAATTGCCCAAATCTTCTCTGAAAACCGAATATACTCCAGTTAATCCCTTGGATTCAGGGGAGCTGTAGGAATTCTCCTAGGTTTCAGCATCAATTTTAGCAACTTCCAAGGCAAGAGGTGCAAGTGGATTGTCAACCACCTTAAGGGTCTTTTGCACACTCTACTGCATGGTAAAAGAAAGTTGCCTTCGTGTGGCTTTATTAGTCATCGCCTAATAGTTGCTATTTTGAAAGTATTCCAGGAGACCAAACATAATCTGTGTTAGTTTTACAGAAAATTACATGCTTCTAGATCCACCAGTTTATACTGAATGTCTTACTCCTAATCCTTACATCAACTTGTGTAATTGTCTGATTGGACAGTAGTATTGATTACTCATAGACCGTGTTTAACGTATTAACGGGGGTGGTATTAAAAACCAATTCCAGTTTTTACAGTTATGCAGTGAAACTTCACTCTGTATGTCTCAGAGACACGTTCATCTGTATTTTCTGGGTTTTAATATGACAGCAATATAACGTGACCTTATTCTTAGATCAAGAATTTTAGACCAAGATTTAGGTGATGGAAAGTTATTCCTAATTCCTTTAGAAATTATTGAGCATTGTTCTTGTCAGAGGGAGTGAAAATTTCTTTTACTCAATACAATACCTTCAGACTACAATTACTGGCTAAATTGTTTTATGTTATTGATGAAATAAAAGTGATTTTCCCTGCTGTGAACACTGATAAACAGAAATGGATTTTTGTTCCCATGCAGTAGATTTCCCAACACCAAAGACAGAACTGGTACAGAAGTTCCACGTCCAGTACCTGGGCATGCTACCTGTAGCAAAACCCGTGGGTACGTAGCACTTATTCTTAAGTGACTTCCAAAGTACGTTGCGTAAACTCCAAGGGCTGGCCTCTGCTAGCCAAGTGTAAATGCATGATTTTCGAAGGGTAAGGCATGAAGATGTCTAGTATTCAGGGCCTCATTTGAACGTGTGTTTTGCAACCAAAGTATTTTGGGAGCTGCCAAGAAGGCTGAGTTTCTTTCTGCTGCTTTCTCTGAATATGAGCTCTGTTACTAATGAGAAGCGTCCTAGCGAACTCAAATGGTGCAGCAGCTAAACAAGACGTGATCCTGTTTTGTTGAAGCCAGAGGCACCTGTTTTGTTTATGCAGTTGAAGAAAACTAACTTCAGAACCCTTCCTTCCATCATCAAATTCATTTTACTACGGAGTCTAAAACAATCTGTTTTCTGTACTACTATGTGAAAACAAATATTTTTGTTATTGTTTGCCTACGTATTTATTTGTCATTATCACATTTTCTTCTGTTCTAGGGATGGATACTCTGAATAGTGCCATTGAAAGCCTAATGGCTTCCTCGAGCAAAGAAGACTGGATGCCAGTTACCATGAATGTTGCTGATGCTACTGTCACAGTCATCAATGAGCGAGTAAGGCAGACTGTCTTGTTTAGAACACGTTTAACATTATATGAGTGTTGAAAACCAGGGACACACAAACACTGGTAGAAGGAGTTTATTTGTACTAGAATTTGTTTGCTTATCTTGCCGTTTATTTCTTTCCAGGGCTGTGAATCTGCAGAGGCTCTTACTGCTTGTATCAGCTTCAGCTTTGTTTACCATTCCAAGCGTGTTTTCAAAAATATAAATTACTATCAGTATCCATTAGATACTTAAAACAAATTCAGTGTTATCCTTTCTAGGAATTTTAAGCCTAAAATGTTGTCGGTGAAGCCCTACGTAGCAATCCTAAATTCTAAACTGTATTTGCTTTATTCTTGGTATGGAAGCCACGAGTAATATTAAAATCTGTGTTTCACATCACTGTTCTGTTGTAGAGCATTTTCCATAAAGATTAATATGATGAAATTTTCAAAGAATGTCTCTTACATATGTCTGTTGATGAGGTCTTAAACCAACATCTCTAACATACCAGTGACACGGCAGTATCCTTTGGAGTCGTAATAGCCATCCATTTCCTCACAAAACAAGCAGGGCTTGAAACGCACAATGTGCTCGGTGCTCACGCTCAAAGCCTTGGTCTTCTGGCGACAGCCTGGAAGGGGAGATCATCCAGCCCCGGCCGGAGCACACTGGCTACGCGCAGATAGATAAAAAGGAATCCCACAGTACTGCATCAGTCTCTCCCCATTTAATCACCTTAACCAAGTTCCACAGAATACCCAGTAGTAATGACCAATCATTTGATTCGTAACCAGAATGAAGAGGAGATCATGGTGGAGTGTCGTGTGCGGTTTCTGTCCTTCATGGGAGTAGGCAAGGACGTTCACACGTTCGCCTTCATTATGGATACAGGAAACCAGCATTTTGAGTGCCACGTTTTTTGGTGTGAACCAAACGCAGGCAATGTATCAGAAGCTGTTCAGGCCGCTTGTATGGTAAGTCACCACCTTCAAAGGCACCTAATAGCACTTAGATTTTTCACTGCCTCCATAAATAATCATCTTCCCAAATTTGCAATTATATTAGTTTCAATACAGAAAAAGAAAGAAGAGATAAAACTAGGAATTTGGATTCTCATGTATTTGATCAATTAAAACCCAAACATTTTTAAGTTTGAAATGTTAATTTAGTGAACAATGCCCCTTTAATCTTCTTCCCTCCTAACCTCTGCAACATCTGCGGTAAGTTAGCAATCTTTTCTTTCACTGCACAAGTTAACTAATGCTGGAAAACCGTTTTGCTCAGGATTGTGTTATACAGCCCGCTGACAATGCAGTGAAAATAATCCTTGTTCAAGAATAGCTGAACCCAGAAAACTCATTTTTCAGTTTTCAAAGGGCTGTTCATATGATGTAGTATCTGTCATGTGCTAATGAACAGTTTATGCCCACGGATTGACAGACCGATGTCCCATTAACTTCAGCTGGGCTGTCTGTCACAGCCAAAATGGAAGCTTGACTATATTTCATGAGAAAGTATTAAAAGTGTATTTAAAATGCTCTGTCAAAGCATTTGATACAGTAAGGACTGCAGAATGTTTTTGCTTTGTTGCAGTTACGGTATCAGAAGTGCTTAGTAGCCAGACCTCCTTCACAGAAAGTTCGACCGCCCCCACCTCCTGCAGACTCGGTGACTAGAAGAGTTACAACTAACGTAAAAAGAGGAGTGTTGTCCCTCATTGACACTTTGAAACAGAAACGCCCCGTCACCGAGATGCCATAGCTGTGTAAGAGAGAAGATTCTCCTGACATTTAACTGAAGATAACAGTAGCTACGCTAAGGACAATGAACTGACGATGTCCGGCCTTCCATTTCAAATTGCCGATGCTTTGTCTTCAGAGAATTTCCCCTTATCGAAACAATGTTAGACAAGCATGTTCTCTCGTTCTTGCCACCATCGTGTGATATGAAAAGAAGCATGAATAATTTTTTTGCTGTCAGTGAGTTACATCATGAGCAATGGAAGGTCTGTTTGTTTGTAAATACATGAACATTACCTAAACTCACACAAAAAAAGAATATGGCCACGTCCCTCCCAGTGAACTCATGCTAAAGTCCTTGGAGTGAATGATGCCCAAGTTGATAGTTTCACCGTCTTAAGCTGGATTTGTCACAAACCAATCGTAAATCCTACAGCACTCGGCTCTGTTTCAACACTGGAGTGTAGGTACCAAGTATTAGCTACCATTGAATTACTGTAGGTTAAATACCGAGTTTTATTTTTTACAGAACTACATCTGTTAGTTTTAAATTGTTCGTCAGCATCGGTCCAGCAACCACTTTAACATCTCCCTGACATGCTTTTGAGTCATGGTGTCATTAGTTCATCTCCTGGTTATACATTATGGTCTTAGAGAAGAATCGTGTTTAATACCAAACCAGTGCTGACCAATCCAGAAGTGTTTTCGGCAATTGAGTCGTAGGGTGATCCACTGAAGCTTTTCAGCTTAAAATATACAAACGCACCTGTTGGCTGTTAAATTTATTCTCCTATATCTGTCATTAATTCATCAAAAATACCATTGATTTCACGCAGGGCTCATACCAATCAGGAGCAAGAAAGAACTAGTCAGCAATTTTACTATCTTAAAACTCTTATAAAGAGACTACAACGTTCCATACTTTATCCATACAACTGTTTGATGAAATGTTTAATTCAGCGTCTGCTTGCACAATTCCCCTTCCCCTCAGAGTTTGTTGCTGAATACTTAATGTGCCACAAAAAAGAACAATCATGTTTCTCATTATTTGCAAAATTCCATGAAGTTTCTTTTACTTTTAATGCTCTTGTGACAAAATAAGGAGAGCGCTGTTTGCTAACAGGATAGTGCTTCAGGTGGTACAACCTGATTTCGATGCTTTTCCTCCAAAGGCTTCATCTAATTGCTTTGATCTACGCACTACTGCAGACCCCGACGCAGTCAGCCCGGTATCGCCCCTGAAAATTGTACTTCAGGCTAATTTTCAATTGCAGTTATGCATCTTCAGTCTCTCCCTTTGCCATCTTCTGCCTAGACCTGCAGATAGGTACAAATTTTGGAAATGGAACATTAAGGATATTTTTAACTAGCGTTAAAAATGTTTTGCCTCCATTTATAGATATGTTCCAAACTGTAACTGTCTCCCAAGACTGCAAATCTGGTCCTACTGTAGTTTTAAAAGAACACTGTCAAGGTTGTTATTACAAGAACTCTTTTTTTCATTTTACTGTGCAAAAGACTGTTCGATAAACTATTTTCTTTTTAGTTCCTTGTCTAAAGAAATGAACGGCAGCACCTGGGCAAAGCAAGTTAGGAACAAAAGGGGAAAAGAATGATGATTCAAGAAATTTCTGCATTGAAAAATGCAGAAAAATCGTTAAACTAAACTCAGCCTGCTGTATGAGCAAGCGTCAGGTGAGGGCTAGCTAGGCAACTATTGCAATTAAATTTAGCTCTCCGGAATATCCTCCACCCATCTCAAATCTCTTTATGACGGCGGTTCCGCACTGAAGCAGCGGTGTCCCCTCCCGAGGCTCGCCTTCCTGTCGCCTCCTTCGCACCAGCTCCAGCGCTGGGGCAGCTGGAGGAGCGGCTGCGTATGCCAAGTAGGCAGGGAGAAGGGGGAGGCGGGGGGATGTGACCAAACCCACTCCTTTGAGCAGCGCCAACGGTTTAAACTGGCCACAAGGCCACGTCTCAAAGCACGGAGATGGCAGCTTGCACCCGCGCTTGTTTAATTTGGCATTGATGCCAACCACCTCTGCTAGGAGCAGCGTAAAAGCTCACTCCCTATCACGGCTGCTATCAAAATGTGGTGGCTAACAGTGGGTCCTACCAAGAGGGTAGGATTGTGAGGTTATGAGGTTAAAGTTTCTTTATTCATCATCGTGCCAGTGAGTCAAACTTCGACTTTATTTTATTTTAAATTACAGAAACTACTTTGACAGTGTCATTTTAAAGTTACAGCTGCAAACGCCAGGATTGGGGCTTTGCAGCTGTTCTACAACACTGAATTTTAAACAGTATAATTAAATTTTGTAGTTGCATCTGCACAGTGCTGATTCTCCCCAAGAGAGATCCGGAGCCTTTAAACTAACCCAACACGTGGCAAACAGCGATGTAAAGGTTCTCCTACATTGGTGTTGTCAAGGCTGTGAACATCTCGTTACCTTTCACTGCAAAGTCTGCAATCGCAGGCTGGGCTGACGAGAAGACAGAAAGGTATTTGAAAAGCTGTAGGTCACTTGCCAATATGTTTTAAGAGTTTTGTGTCTGTTCACCAAATGTTGTTGATTTTGCAAATACTTAAGTAGTGTGCTTAATGGTCTGACTATATGTGGCCTTTTTGCTTCAGCAGAGCTCCTTATTCTCCAAAAGATTAGTGCACCCAGGTGTTTGCAGAACCAGAGCCTAATATTGCAGAGCCAGTTCTCTTTTGTTAAACAATATGTTAAGACACTTTTTTTCCCATGGCCAAAAAAGTATGTATGGGGTACGTGTGTTTGAGCAACTGCCACTGGTTTTGTTCATGTTATAGCAACCCCTCAGTTATCTATGCATTTTTTTATAATACCTAGTGATTCTGTAGGCAGGCAGCCATGTTCACTATGCCTTGTATGTCTGATGCCATATTTTAAATTAACCTGTTAAATACAGCTTAAAATATTTTTATTTTATTTATTCTATTTTTACTGAAATATCCTGCATTATTATGTTGATGTATTGTCTTTACTGGACGCACTCTTGTAACATTCTTCACTCTGTACACTATAGGTTGCCTAAAAAAAGGCAGGCTTTGTAATTATTTGTAGTCACATTTTTATTGAAGTCTGTAGAAAAATCATGTAAAGCAAAGCCAATTTCTTAATTTTTTTCAAGGCAAGTAGTAAGTTAGAGGTAAGTATCACATGTCAGTCATGTCATTAGTACGCTCCCTTGCAGGAGCGAGGAGATTTATATGCACAGTCAACGACTATCAGATAAAAGCCTTTCTTTTGACATCTGCAGTGCTGGCTGTAGGTTTTATTTAAGCCACTTACTGTTTCATCTGAAGGGGAGCGAGGGGGTGGGGGAGATGGACGGCTGGAGAGGGCACCTGCAGCGTGCTTAAACAGGAGTAACAAAAGCTGCGTGGAAGGGCACAGAATCTATTCACAGTAAAATGAGTTCTTAGTCATATACTTCGTGTGCGGAGTCACCTGTGCCTATAGAAATAATATGGCCTTTCGTAACAGAGGAAGACAAGCTGCGGAGTATCTAATGGCTTGCGCCAGTGCTGTGTCACTAAGAGTTCTACATTCCTTTTCATTTTATCAAACATTTCGTAGATCATTTAACTAGGGATCTAAAATTGTTAGTAAAGCACCCGTGCAAAAGAGAACTTTTCTTATTTCAACAGCTCATATGGGCTCAGCCTTTACAGCATTATCATTAACCCCGTTACTCCTTTCTTGGGCAGGTTAATTAATACATTGCTAAAACTTGCGCTGTAGAGTCAGCGAAAGCCGGTTTGATTTAACAGCAGTAAGAAAGAAGGGAACACACCCACTGGTTATTAGCAGAGCTCAGTCTTACGTAAAGCACCTGACTGACACCGAAAAGGACAACTTTCCCTGCTGTTCACCACGTCTCCACATTTAAATGTAATCTGTTCTGAGAATAAATTTAGCTGCATAAAATGATTGTCTCAACTGTTACTGGTCCATGAAACTGGGAAATTGTTTCTTTTTGTTCCAAATTGTGGTTGAGGGGAGGGGAAAAACACGCTTCTTGTTGAGAGGCGAGAGCAGGACAATGGACACTTTTGTATCTGGAAAGCTGAACCGACCGTTTCTAGTTGAATATTGCAAATACCTAACTGGATTACAGAAAATTAGTTACTTAAGATACAGTTTTACTGTAAAAAGTCATTGAGTGTTTAACTGAGCATACAGGCTTCTACCGACAAGCCATCTGAAGTCAGCCCCAAGTGTTGCCACCAGGCGATGGTCAGTGCTTACAAAGTAAGCTGCTGACCTGCAGAATCAAATTCCTCACTACCAGCGCTTCACTACTCTTGGTTAAGACAGCAGGACTTTAACTGGTTTAGCCTCCCTAACGCTTCAAAGGCTCGGAATCCTGAGAGCAGAACCAGGCCAATTGTGCGACATCACGATGCATATTACGTAAGTAGCCCAGAACGACTGTCATCAGACAGATGTATGTTCATTTAGAAGTAATTTTAATTACATTTAACAAACGATGGAGATTTTGATTTAAAAAAAACAGTTCAGTTCTCTAGCTGCAGTCTCTAAGTTTAGTTTAAGCATTTAACAACCATCTTGGAAAAAACACAAATCTCCTTACTGCCCATTCCTTTCATATGACATGTGGACTCTCTCCTCCTCCAAGATGGTATTGAAATCAAATAGTGATTTTTATTTTTTTTTTAATTTTTGTACATTGCATGTGCACAGGTCTAGATCTATCCTTACAAGTTTGTTTAGATGCAAGAGCGGACAGAGTTCATCCTGTTAATGGAACAGGTCGGGAGCACGGGTTACTCACAGGGATATACAGCAGGTGAATAGGACAGCTGGCTCAGGTTAAAATGCTAAAAGAAATTTTCAGTGCTTCAGTGAAGCAGCAGTATCTGTCCAATGAACAAGAGCCAGCAGTCTACACTGCTGATGTAACATCATTCGCATCCTTTCTTCTAAAGGTAGTGCTGATCCACCTACATTGACTGGTGCAGGCGAGGAGAAAAATAGAGATGTTAAAACATTTTCTCTGGAAGGGTCTAAATCCAGTCTCAGGTGTACATCAGATAGGTTCAGATTCCATACCATATTGTTGACACTACTGGCAACACTCTTGCCAAATATCTTAAATGATTGCCTAGAGGAAAACTCTTCTGGGCCATGGCTACCTTTGCCTGTCTTATGTTGCTATGCTGTCTCTGTTTCACTTCTACAACAGTGTACCCTAAATAAATACAGTTCTTGAGGTTCCTCTTACAGTCATTCCATCATTGTTTGACATTTTCCTTTTTTATACTGTCCATATTCAATACTAAATCAGATTCTTGTTAAAAGTATCTCTATGT